ACAAAAAAAAAAAAAAAAAAAGAAAGAAAAGAAAAGAAAATATCATCAACAAATTCAATCCTTCTTCCTTTACCTACCTTTCCACTCTCAGACAACCTCCATTGTGAATTTTCTTTTTCTCATTTCCCAACTTTAATAAAAAACAAATAAATATTAGGCTTAAATTGCTTATGCCTAAACAATTTATTTTTGAACTTTAGAAAAAGTGTTCTTAAGAAATTTGCATTTTTTTTCACTCAGTCTCTTTCATCCACACTGTTACCCATAATAGGAGCCCTTTTGCTTTCTCTGCCAAGTAGGAGCTCATCGTGAGGATAATCGAGTGTCTCCTCCCCCGGTGCGATCTCCAGCTCTTTGCTATAACGGAGCAGGCTGTGCAGACATCTTGTACACATCCACTCCATACGTCCGTAAGAATGTTGCCAGAAACACCAATGAAACAAGCACACACAAGTACCATCTGTTATAAAATTATTTAAAAGTCAAAAATTAAAGAGTCTACCAAGATCAAGTGTTGGGGCAAGGAGAACCAGAGAGATCTTCGTCCGTGACCACAGCAGTGTGAATACAAGTGCCCCTGTGCCCCTGAACACACCCTGGCATCATTCTTAAAGCTGAACATGGGCACACAATGTAAGAAATCCTAGTGTGTGTGTGGGACGAATAACTGCACAACCGGTTGCCCAGCAAGTCAGCCAAGATACCTTCTACCTCCTTTCATTTTTATGTCCTACCAACATTCTGGTGACTTTTTATATTCGTCGCTGTGGGTTCCCAGCCCAGCATGTTCCTTTTTGCCAAAAAGTTCACATCAATTCCCAAGCCCAGGACCCATCCACCACACCAGCCTTCTCATCATATGACATCTGTTAGGACAGCTAAGATGCTAATAAATCTCAGTGCTTTCGCTCTCCTAACAGATGAAACTATAGATAAGTTTATTATTGTTGCATTTTCTCCAGAGATCTTAGAGGGAAATGTGACTCTTTGGTTCACGTCCAGGTGTCCTTGATTCCTTGACCAAATGTTGTTTTTCTATACTTCTTCTCTTTTGATAGGGGCTCAAATATTTGTTTTCCTAATGCATCTTCTTAGATTTTCCCTTGGGATATCCGCTATAGTGAAAGATTGAATTTCGGTGAGTTCTGGCCCAACCATCTTGCATTCAGATAAGTCCCAAGCCCCCTCAGGAGGGTAGTTTTATCCAGGTTCTGCCTGGTGTGGCCATGGCAACACCCACAAATAGCCCTGAGCTTCCAGCCACGGGCACCCTCCTGTGTCTCCTTAGTCGACATCCTCCCTTGGAGTTGTGACCTCACTCGTTGTGAGGCCTGCTGATCCTCAGTAATTTCCACTTCCTCCCCTTCAATCACAACCTTGGAAGCTACCAGTAACTATGGACTGGATGTGTCCCCCCAAGCCATGTGTTGAGAACAATTCCTGATGCAACAGAGTTGGGAGGCGAAGCCCACTGAGAAGTGATTTTACCGCACGGACGAGGTGAATGCATGAAAGCCACTAAGGCAGGAGTGGGTGCTTTATACAAAGGTGAGCTTGGATCCCCTTGGCCTGTCTCTCAACCTCGCTTTGCCCTTCTGCCATCTGATGCCTTCTGCTGTTAGGACACAGCAAGAAGCCCCTCTCTGCATGTCAGCCCCTCGATCTTTGACTTTTTAGCCACCAGAATCAAGAGCCAATGAATTTCTGTCCATCAACCAGTTTGTGACACTCTGCTAGAGTGGCACAAAGTGGGCTAAGACACTGAGCAGTGCTCAAATAGCCCATGTATATCTTTCTACGCTTCCCTTCCTCAGGCTGTCCCCAAATCCCTCTCCCATCTTGTATAGTTATCCACTCATCCAGACCAGGTTCTGCTATTGATTTTGTACTTGATGTCCTGTCTGTGGCCTTCAGAAAACTGGTGGAAACTTACCTCCTAAATTGGAGTCAACCCCTAGGCAATGCTATTTGGGGACTCACAGCACCTGCTCTTACTTCTGGCTTCACTGTAAGGTATTTCCTCTAAGGCTGGAAGGGCCTGGAGGACGTGACTGGGATTTAATGAAATAGTCACCATCCTGCTTTCATGGGCCCTTGAGCACAGTTCTCATTGTTCCCCCCATCCAGCAGAAGGCATCAAAGCAAGTCAACTTCCACCTTCCGGGGTGGCTTGAGTCTTAGCAAAGTGAGGTATGCTGCTCAGTGGGCTTTCTTGGAAGAACCTGGAAACTCAGATTGCTCTGGTCTGGGTTAAGAAGGGGACAGAAAGGCCAAGAGGGCGAGTAAGATGAGAAGGGGGTCAGACTCAGGTAGCAGAGCTAGAGAGGAGTCATGCATTATTCCCTGCCATCCCAGGATCATCAGATTTCAGAACTGAAAGTGACCGGAGGAGCTGTCTGATTTAACCATCTCATCTTACTGGTGGGGTCAATCGGACCACAGAGGTGAGCAGACTTGTCCAAAGTCACAGAACTGTCAGGTGGACCCAAGATCCTTCAAATACAAAGTGTTTCTTTCTCAATATATATTATAGAGGGAGGGTGGACAACCTAAATGGCAAAATTTTAAAAACAGGAGAGACATAAGGGAAGCTCTCAGCTTAAATCAAGAAGGTTCTCCTATCAGGAGAAAAATACTTGCTGTGTTGAAGTTTGAAAATAATGTAGAAATGTATTAGAATACGATCATAATAAAGTTAACCAAGGGTTAACTGCTATTCCCCTGGTTAATATACTGTTTGTATTTTACCTTGCCTTTTGGTCATTAATGGAGGTTTTCTCTGGGGCAAGAAAAAGTGTTTTTTCCCCTTCTACTCTTCTGTACTTCCAGTCTAACGTCATATTTCTTTCATAGGGATTTTAAATATAAATAAGGGAAGCTCTCAGCTTAAATCAAGAAGGTTCTCCTATCAGGAGAAAAATACTTGCTGTGTTGAAGTTTGAAAATAATGTAGAAATGTATTAGAATACGATCATAATAAAGTTAACCAAGGGTTAACTGCTATTCCCCTGGTTAATATACTGTTTGTATTTTACCTTGCCTTTTCGTCATTAATGGAGGTTTTCTCTCGGGCAAGAAAAAGTGTTTTTTTCCCCCTTCTACTCTTCTGTACTTCCAGTCTAACGTCATATTTCTTTCATAGGGATTTTAAATATATGTGGTTTATGCTTTGTCTTAAACTAATCAGTCCCCACTGAAGGGAAAGGTGAGTGAGACAGGTCCTAGCCAGGTTCTAGCCATGACTCACAGGAGAGAACCATGGAGCAGTAAAGATATACAGCCTCTGGGAAGATATCTCTTCCTGGTGAGGGGAAAGCCTTCTTTGGCATTACTACTCTATCTCTCTTTTCCTCCTCCCTTCTTTGGGAAGTTGTCTTTACAATTGACATTATTGCTGGGCATGGTGGCACATGCCTGTAATCCTAATAATTGGAAGGATGAGGCAGGAGGATTGCCTTAAGTTCAAGGCCAGTCTGAATTACATATTGAGGCCCTATCTCAAAAACAAAACAAAGGTTATTTACTTTTTTGTGGTTGTTGTAGTTATATACAAATTTTAACATTTCTAACAGTACAAAATATTATACAGTTATTTCCTCCAGTCCAACTTTTTTTTCCTTTTCCTCACTGCTGGAAATTGAACCCCAGGACCTCAATTATGCTAGGCAAGCACTTTACCTCTGAGTTATATCACCACCCTTCTTTCATTTTTTAAATCTTCAAGGGACAATGAGAAAACTTGCAAACCTGTGTTCTTACGTTATTGAGGTTTTGTGTAGACTTTAGACCCAAGTCTTCCAGACTCTTTGTTAGATAACCAAAGGTTCGTTTGCAGTTCCAGCAGCTGTCACTTGTAGCTTCTATTTCCTGCAGCCCCAAATATTCGTACCCCACGCCATTGGCCAGCATCATATTTGAATAAAATGCTATTGGGCTCCAAAGTCCCCCTTTTGTTATAATTTGCTACCTATCTTCCTCCCTAAGAAAGGGCCAATTTCCCTGGAAACATTTTTAAGTTTTGAAAGGAAGATACAAGTGCTGTGGAATGTCATCTTGTTTCTCTGAGGCTATTCCGTTAGTTCAGATCATTTTTAATTTTACTCTGGTCTTGCTGAATATTAAACACATGGTCTCAGCACTTTATCAAGTTTAATTTGTGCCATTTTCATTTTTTATCTGCCGATTCATAATGATAAAGAATAGAATTGCCTCCAAGTCAACTTCAGAGGGAAGTTATTTGAGTTTGACCTTGAGCTGTCCATCCTGGCACACGTAGTCCTATCCCCCAGCTGGGCCACCCACTTGGAGGCAGATGTGGGTGACCAGGGGACTTTGATACTTCCCGTTAGCTTCAAGCACTCCTGAGGGTTCCAAGCTAGAGATGGCTTCACCTATTCAGGATTGGCTTAAATTTTTATCAATCACACAATCTATTATCCTCCCTAAGACTAGACCACAGAGGAATGTTAGTATGATGTTATTACTCTTGAGGGAATCGAGTTATACAAGGCCTTCCCAAATGGTATTCCCTCCTTTATCAATAGGTTTCTCTGGTCACAAGCAACAGAAACTGACCCTGATTAAGCAAAAAACAGAGCTTAGCAATGTTAGGCTAGACAGTGGGCCTGAGGGACAGGGGTTCCAAAAAGCATACTCTGCCACTTATAGATAAGGAACAAGACTTCAGGGTATAGTATATTCATAACCATTTGTTAGATCCCAGACCACCACACAATCTATTGTTCTCCCTAAGACTAGACCACAGAGGAATGTTAGTATGATGTTATTACTCTTGAGGGAATCGAGCTATACAAGGCCTTCCCGAATGGTATTCCCTCCTTTATCAATAGGTTTCTCTGGTCACAAGCAACAGAAACTGACCCTGATTAAGCAAAAAAAAGAGCTTAGCAATGTTAGGCTAGACAGTGGGCCTGAGGGACAGGGGGGTCCAAAAAGCATACTCTGCCACTTATAGATAAGGAACAAGACTTCAGGGTATAGTATATTCATAACCATTTGGTAGATCCCAGACCCAAAGCAGCCTGACAGAGTACAGCGAAATTTAAGGTTATGCACTATGCACATTCTTTAATATCTGGCCACCTGACTATTTCCACAATATTGTAGGATGTGTGGCCAGTGATATTGGAAAGGGGAACAGTCCTTAAAGACCTTGTTCCTTGGACTGAATGTGACTTAGTCTTCAAGATATGCTTGGGGTTACATTCCAAAGTAACCCCAAGAGAAATAAAGAGCTTAGCAATGTTAGGCTAGACAGTGGGCCTGAGGGACAGGGGGGTCCAAAAAGCATACTCTGCCACTTATAGATAAGGAACAAGACTTCAGGGTATAGTATATTCATAACCATTTGGTAGATCCCAGACCCAAAGCAGCCTGACAGAGTACAGCGAAATTTAAGGTTATGCGCTATGCACATTCTTTAATATCTGGCCACCTGACTATTTCCACAATATTCTAGGATGTGTGGCCAGTGATATTGGAAAGGGGAACAGTCTTTAAAGACCTTGTTCCTTGGGCTGAATGTGACTTAGTCTTCAAGATATGCTTGGGGTTACATTCCAAAGTAACCCCAAGAGAAATGTTGATAGACTCTTGCCTGATGTAAACCAAGCAGTGATCATCATCATACATCCCCAAGACCCAGGAGTAACTTTTGTGAGCATAAAAATCCAAGCCTGCACTTGGGGCAGATGTCTGTGTGGCACTGCCCTCCTAGCTCTCTCCATAGCTACTTTACAATAAAGCTACCTAGCCCCTGCACCCACCTGTATCTTGACTGAATTCTTTATCAAGGGCACAAAAGAACCAAGGGTCAAGGAGTGAAGTGTGGGTTCCTCACTATGTCAGGATCCGGCTTCGCAGTGACAGCGACAGTTATGGATCTCACAGGTAAAGGAAAATGCTGGGCTCAGCGAATGGAAGAAAAGCAACTCTACAGATCACAGTGACTGGGGCTGACAGACAGGCACTTGGGATGACGCAGTCAAAGGCGTCATTGACCCCAAGTGGGTCACAGGGAACGGGGAAAGAATGGTTCCCCAAAATGGGTCGAGGAGCTTTTTCAAGGTCAGAGTTGCATACTCAGGGAGCTATGCTATGTGTACACAGATGTGAGAAGAAAAATTCATTGATGACCCCTCTTTACATCACCGGTCCCAAGGAATTGTGGGAGCGTATTTGGATCTACATGAAGGCAACAAGGAGAACTCATAACGACATTGTTTCCCAGGTTTTGCAGCTACTGGCTCTCACCAGGAGAGCATTGGCTTCCAGGAAAAGGGGGACAGTGTGGCATGGAGTGAAATATGCTTCCCGGGCCCACTGCAGGCAACTTGAAATCTTCCTGCAAGGAGGTTCAAGAGCTGCAGCTGCTCTTTGTCTGGCCCACTTTGGCCCAGCCCAGCCCCACAGTCTAAGGGTGGTCTCCGAACCTCCTCCCTCTACACCCTTCAGCTAAAGGCACCTGGCTCAGCCTCACTGCCTTGGGAAGACAAGATTCTCTCCCATGGGGAGGAAGGTTTGGCCAGATTGTCCTGAGGAACTTGTGATGTAACTTCCTGCTCAGATCTGGGGGAAAAGGTTTCTGTCACCCAGGGTACTGAAATTTAGCTTGAGGAGATGGACCTGAGAGTTTCCCTGGGAAGATTCCTTCACTTTGCATAATTGGCACTTTCCTTCTGGCCTGCATACAGTTTAAAATAAAACCTGGAGTCCCTGGATTCTAAGGTTAACCTTGGGGTGCAGGAGTATTTGGAGGAGTTTGGGATATACCTCTAGGTTTTTCTGTGGCAGAAGCTATTGCTGTCCCCTCCCGCCCTGGACACCCACATTTCTCCAAAGGACACAACTGGGCATGTTCGTTCAAGTCTGATTTCATCATTTGCAGGGGCCCGTGCCACAGGAAAATGGGCAGTCTGTACTCAAAATGCACCGAGAATCCCAAAACAGCACCAGCAGAGCACTGAACTAAGAGCACAGAGGTTAATTTTTTTCCTTTATTGTTTATTTGTGTGAACATTTTTTTAGGGTTTTTGTTGTTGTTGTTATATTTAGTTCTCACCTTTGCCTTTTCCTTCTTTCTTTCTAGTCTCCAAAGCTTGGGTGATCTTCCTTTGTCTTTCATCCTTGCTTCTAATCTCTTTCTCTTCTACTTTTCCCTCTCTGCTTTGGTTTTTTTTTTTTTTTTCCTCTTAAGACTTTTACATTTTCTCCTCTTAGGATAAAATTACTCTGTTGAGGATATATTTACTGTATGTAAGTTTCTGATTTGTTTTAGACTTTATTATATAACTATAAATCTTGTACCCACAGCTTAAGGTGACAAATTAACAATGACCACATTTTGTTACTTTCGAGGCTTTACTTGATGCTACTGTTATTACTAATTGTACTGCTTTGGCCAAAGTGACATAGTTTTGATCCATTTTTCTTCTTGTGTATCCATAGAGATGTCTAACAGTCATAAACAGTACCATGGTCCAGCACCAAAGAACTTGTGCTAGGCGAAATAGGCAGCAACTTCTCATCCCTTATAAATTTTTTTTCTTTTTATTGAGTTTAGTGGTACAATCTAGGTCTACAATACAGTTACATTCATTACTGGGATCCTGTGTCTTCACATGACAGGTCTTGGTTCTCATTTTTTCCCCTTGTCCCTGCCCTACCTTTACCCCTTTCTCCCCTCCCCATTAACAAACTCTTTATTTCCATTTTTTTCATTTTCTCATATTTTTTCATCCCTAATAAATTGAAGAGGCAGGAATCTTGGTTGGGATGGACTCAAAAGCCAAAGGCCAGCTACATCTAGAAGCTATCTGAAAAGCAGTCACTTCCTGAGGAAGTCTCAATACTACTAACAAAGTTACGTATCATAAGCAATTTACAAACATCCATACATAAAACAAATTTTAGAAAAGAAGAGACAATGAGAAAACATGGAAGCAATATGCACCCTCAGACCTCTAGCTCACCCAAGGCAAATCCAGGGGGCATTGAGGTGGAAGAAATCAAAAGCTAGACCTAAGTGGAACAGAAGAGAAGTTACAGAAACAACTCCAAACTCACTCAGCCACCTTATCTTTGGCAAAGGAGCCAAACAGCTTCGCTGGAAGAAAGATAGCCTCTTTCAGAAATAGTGCTGGGAAAACTGGCTTTCCACATGCTAAAGGTTCAATCTAGACGCACATCACTCACCATGCACTAAACTAAAATCGAAATGGATCAAAGATGTAATTATTAAAATAGAAACACATAATCTGCTGGAAGATAAAATAGGTAAAACTCTTGAAGTTATAGGTGTAGGCAAAGACAAAGAGTTCATGAACAAAACCCTAATTGCACAGGAAATACTGCAAAGAATCAATAACTGGGATTTCATCATATTAAAAAGTTTTTGCACAGCCAAAGAAACCACCAACAGACTGAAGAGACAACTCACAGAATGGGAAAAAAATTTTTATCGGTAGATCCTCAGACAAAGGACTAACATCTAAAATATATAAAGAACTAAAAAAAAAAAAAAAAAAAATCATGGCTCCCCCTCCCCGACCCTATCCCAGGCTAATCACGGAGGCTCTGCCATCATCCCCAGCCCTCACTCCTACCCCAGCCAACATGTTAGGACTCGGCACTCAGAAATTGGGTTTTGGGGCCCACTTCAGCATAGACAATGGTCACCAAGTATCACTTGGCCCTGGGATATGTGATTCAGAACAAGAAATCCCCTTTTCCCCTGCCCTTCTTAACTCTGTTTGCAACATGCCACAGTTGCATAATAATTACAAGCATGGGCCAAGATCTCTTGCTCCAAACCTCCCTAAACTCAGGCAGCAAAGTCTCAAGGCTCAGAGACAGTGAAGATTAATGTCTCCTACCTACCTCACAGTACAAGCCAAGGTCTTCCCACTGCTCCTCCAGGGTTACTCATGGTGCCCATCTGGCCACATAGAAGGACACTTAAAAGCAGCCTCCTTTCTGTCACCAGGCCCAAGGCTGTGTCCGACAGAGGCCTCCCATTCTGCAGAGCTTGGACTGGTGCAGGGCTCCCCTGACCCAACCCCAGGTTGAACAAGGCTCCGGAGCAGAGACTGGCAAAGCTTTTCTATATAAGAGCCAGACGGTAAATTTTCTAGGCTTTTTGAGCCCAAAAGCAAAATCAAAGCTATCATGTGGGTATTTTCATGACCCTTTTAAATATAATTTTTTTACTTTTTAAAATGTTATTGGGTTTTGTATTTTGCATTTTGGTTGATTGGTTGGGTTTTGTTTGTTTGGGGGTTTTTTGGTTGCTTGTTTTGAGACAGAGTCTCACTATAGAGTTCACAATAGCCTTGAATTTACTCTGTAGTCCAGGTGGGCCTCAACTTGTGGCATGTGCCACTGTACCTCGCATAAATTTTTCACTTTCAATTTGAATGTGGGACCAGAGGGAGGGAAGACCCGCTCTGGGTCACGTTTCCTCACACCTTCAGCCCCGATTTTTCAAACACTGAGTGCCCATTTGGCTGCCAGCTGTGGAAAGCCAGCCCATGGTGGTGCCTGCCAGTAATCTCAGTACTCAGAGGCTGAGGCAGGAGGATCGCCAGAAGTTCGAGGTCAG